ATCTATATAAATTTGAGTGAATGTGTATTGTATTCAAGCTTTTAGGTAACAAATGAGGGATAATTCCTGTGGACTTTATTCATTTTCTATAGGTGTTTTATTTCTTGAGAGTTCAGTATATTTACTTAGTTTTTCTGTACAGCTATTTTGTACATTGTGTGTTTGGCATAGTGATGTCAATGATATAAGTTAAAATTAGTTTAGTTTTGTGCACTTTCTCAATGATGTTGATGATATTATTTTGTGTTTGTAAAAGATTCAGTATTAAATCTGTTATTGAAAAATATATACACAGTACAAAACAGTAGAGCATCGATTATCCGACCCCCCTATCAACCGTCACATTGGTTAACCGACCACATTCTAGTTGACAAATTCAAATGTTTGCTAGTGATGTGGCGCTACAATATTTGACTATGTCTTGGCTACTTTAATATTATTTTTGTTAAATTTTTGCATGTTTTAGCTGGCAACACTGGCTCAACCATGAAAGGGAGGCCAGTATTTAAACGAGGCTTAATTTTCTAATTCTGAGTGGTTGTTTGTTTTGTGAGCAATAAAATAATTTAAAAATAATTTTTAATGATACAATAGCGACGATTATTATTTTTAAAAAAGTTTTGTTAGGCTTAACATCAATGAAAATTCAACGTGAAGTAGGTTAATAGCGATATACTATACTAATAATGTATTTTTTCATACTTTTCGGTTATCCGACCAACCCCAGTTACCAATTGAGTCAGATAGTTGATGCTCTACTGTATATTCATTCATGGATGCCTGGAACACATCTCTATTTATTCCATAATAAAATGGATTTATTTTGCACCAATTTTGTTTTTGCTGCCTCCTCCTGAAATATCACTGGCATAAAATGAGGCCATCCTTTACTATATGCAGTAGAACGTCGATTATTTGAATGCCGATCAACCAAAACATTGGTTAACTGAAAGCATTTCAGTCAGACTGTGTTGTGCTGAATCAAATGTTTTTGATACTAGATTAACTTCTAAAGTATAATTTCTTTTGTTTTTATATTTTTCAATATTTATTTTGTTTGTACAGAATAAAGAAATTTTTAACGATACAATAGTTACGATTATTATTATAAAAATTTTTGTTAGGCTTAACATTGATAAAAATTCAACGCGAAGTGACATGCAACGGAGAAAAATTTAAATATGGTGTATATTAATATACTATTATTGAAAAAATACATTATTAATATATTATATTAATAATGTATTTTTTCATATGTAATCAGTTATCCGAAAAATCGATTTTCTGAACAACCTCAGTCCCCAATTGATTCAAATAATCAACACTCTACTGTATTTTTTCAATTTAGGCAAAAAGTTCACTTGGATTGAACAAAAATGATCAAGTAATCTATTTATTGCAGACAAGAAAGGTCCATCTAAGATCTATCATATGTAGTTTAGATTCTTTTCAGTTTCTTGTGTGAATACATGCCAAACAAAGGATGTATGCAACTGAGTACCAGAGAGAGAGAGAGAGAGAGAGAGGATATGTTTGAAGAAAATGATATTATACTTATAGATTACTGAGACATTTTAGGAAAAATATATAAGCTTATATATAAATTTAGTACTAAATTAATTAATTCTAACAACTTCAATATTTCATTTTATTTCATTAGAACTAACTTAAAATATGTAGTGTGAATTATATGATGCATGCATAATTACTTATAAACATAGAGAACATTGATAAAGCTGAATGAGTTAAACAAATTACTAACAAGTCTGTTATAAAGTACTAATTCTATTCACTGTGCATGCTTTATTGTAGTTGATATTTCAAAAAGAACTGTAACAAAATTCATGAAGGAAAGAATTGGTTTACATTGTAAAGAAAATGGTGCATGGTGATATTGATGTTTCTAAATCTGCTCAAAGGTGTCAATTGTGGATTAAAAGGTGAAATGATAGAAATAAGTGAGCAATTTAAGAAAAATATTTTGAATAAGAATACACTAACAACATTTACAAATTTTAGAAATAGGCATTTTGTTGTAAATGAATCAGTTGCAATGTCTGGCAAAAGAAATAATAATGATGTCATTCTCATTTAATTCATTCAACTTTACAAATGTACTCTTAATTGTTATGGGATCTATAAAATAAGTACTATAATTATAAATTATATGTATTTTTGGTATTACTGTTTATAGAATCAGTACTTGAGATGCTTTTCTTAATTTTTTTAAAACAAACATATTTGATAGACATTTCAAAAACAAACAAATTTTTATATTAAAATTTAATTTATAATTAGTTATTTGTTAGTAGAATTATAAATTTTATTTGTTTTGGAAATGTCTATTAAATATGTCTGTTTTAAAAAAATTAAGAAAAACATCCCAAGTACTGTTTCTATATATCAAGTACTGTATATAGAATCAGTACTTGGGATTAAGTATAATATTATTTTTATATATTAAGTATTAAGTATAATATTATTTTTAATAACATTTAAAATTCAAAAAAGAAATAATTAAAATATATATTTATTTTAATTCATTTATTAATACAGTGATAGGCTCTTCTCGTTGAGAATTCTTGGATACCTTTAGCCATAACTTCTTCCATGCTTCGTTCGTGCATTTATCAGTTAATTCTTGACATGCGAAGTTGATATTTCCTATGGCATCCATGATGTTATATTTTTTCCAAAATTGCACCAAACAAACATAGATTTAAAGAAAGTACACCTTTTTGCCACCTTTTGCTGATTGGTTTGTGTTCACAAATAATTGTATATATATGAATCAATGAAATGCCGCGATAATTTAAATTGCTGTAAATTTTGAGCTTTTTTCAGGCTTCAAGCAGATCACATTATATCAAATCAGCGTTAAGCGAGGTGGCGTTAAGCAAGGTCTTACTGTACATTAAATTTTATTTCAATATGTGTCATTAAATCTTTAAGGAAGAAATAATTTAGAAGCATTTAAACTTCAGATTAAATATATATAAACATGAAAACTAAACATTTACTTTCTACACTGTCCACATTGCTTAGAAAAATATTAAAATAGTTTAAAATTATTTTTGAGCTAAATCCCTCATCTTCAGAATGAATTTTTCTGAACTGAACAGAAGTCATATATTAGAGGAGTCAAATAAATCACTTTTTACAATTACTGATATTATCAATTTTATATAGAAATTTATATATTGCTTTAGTTAAATTTTGCAACATTAGATTATTTAAACTGTTTAAGAATGCACATGTTATGGATATGTAAGCATAATTTATTGAATATTTGTTTAAATTTGAAATGTTTTGCTTGAATTTAATCTGTAATCTGCTAATGATGATTACTGAAGGTAATTAAAAACATTCATCTGTATATTAAACATTTTGTTGGTAAGATACTACAGTTTGCTGGTAGATACTAATTGATTATTTTTACATGTAATTTTTAATAATCTAAACTATAGGGAGACATTTATGATGTCTATTAATGGAATTCTTAACTTAATTAAAAATAACTGTTTATATGATAAAGATTATGTTCATGTAAAAACTAAGTAGCTGATTTTTTGTGTGAGTTTTAATTTTTTTAGTTTACATGTTATTTGTATACACTTAAATATTTGAAATTTAGTTATTTATCTTTATAAATTTATAGATGTAACAAAAAAACTGGAGAATGGGAACCATTACAATGCATGGAAGATGTGGGAATCTGTTGGTGTGTAAATGAATATGGTCAACAACTTCCTGGAACAAGTGTAAGAGGTGTTCCTTACTGCACACAACGTTAGTATATTTTTTAATATTATAAACTTATTGATCACTTTTATGGAACAATTAACATGTTAAAAAAACGTTTTTAATAGTATAATAATATAATTAAAAAAGTATTTTTAATAATGACACTATTATAGTATACAAACATTTGATGATGTTATAAAAGCTAAAACAATCAATGAGAAAAATTTTTTGAAATGGTGTTGATTAGTATGCAATAAGATAATCAGTTTCAGAAACTGAAAATTATATTCTTTTGGTAGCATTTATTAATTATTCTTAATATATTTTAAAATAAGTATTTGAGGTTCTACATAAGTTTTAAATTGTCGTTATAAGTAGAAATATAAATGAAGATTGGGTTTAAATAATAACTTTGAAAAAGTATGATTAAAATGGATATCAAGCAAATTATTAAATAAATTATAACTGTGTGAAGTATTATATAGTAATTGTAATCATCATTTCTTTATTATTCTAATATATTGGGTGATTGTAATTAAAGTGCCTTTATTCAATGCTGTCTAGAGATATTTAGCAGTCCAAATGCAATTAAATCTGGTATGGTAATATTTCATGACATGCAAAGATATTCCTATAAAAACAAAATTAGTACCATACTATAATTTACCAGTGTGACACTTTTGGCACTGTAAGCAATGAAAAAGAAGATTTATTTGAACAAGCATACATCTTTCAGCTGAATTCTAGATATAAAAGTGACAACAACTGTTGATTATTATTATTTTTTTAAGCTACAATGGCTATCACTTTGCCAGAATATGCATTTCTTGTGAAGTTGTTTTATGAAAATAATGGTAATGCTAAGACTGCACTTCAGGAATTTCACCATTTAAGAATTTGCACTGAGGACCATTGACTCCCTGTCCTCAGGAGAATTCAGTCTGTGGAAACTGGAATGGAGTTCAACTCAGTTGAACCAGATTCCAGTTTCCACAGACATATCTATCTGTGGAAACTGTACTATCTATATAGTACTATCTATTATCTATCTATCTATATAGAATATGTACTATCTATTTTGAAGCAATAGATAGTACATATCTATTGCTTCAAAAGTTGTTGATGGTCCCATGGCTGTCATTGAAAAGCCAATGAATAATATCGCAGGTACCAGTAAGCATATGCAGTGTCACAGCAGTTGAGTATATCCTATGACAGTGTGGAAGGTATTGAGAAATTTGATGCATTATCTATCTAAGATTAGCCAAACCAGCAATTGCTTGTTGATGATGGGGAAATCTGCCTGATCTTTGCATTGACCTTCCTTACCAGAATATGGTGTATGTAATGAAGTGGATATGTAGCGGTCATGGAAGATCCTGTGGAGTGACAATGCACAATTTCACTTAAGTGGAACTCTGAAAACTTTAAGTATTGCATTTGAGCCATGGAAAACGCTCATGTTTTCTAGCAGATTCCACTGCACTCACCTAAAGTTAGTCTTACGTGGATTTACAGCTACATTTATCTTTTGACCATTCTTCTTTGAAGAAGCTAGTTCCAGTGGACCTGTAACATGTTCTGTGATGGTCCAAAGATGCTGAGAGATGCACAACAGTTTTATCATACTTCAATTGCAATAGTAACAATGCCTTGAGTCAACCATTTTCATACAAAATGGAGCTCCCTGCATATTGCATATAACAGCTTCTGAAACAACATTTCATTGATAACAGGGTGATTAGCTGTGCATTTCCTACCAACTGGCCACCTTGTTCTCTGGATCTTAATTTCTGTGATTTTTAGTCATGAGAAACTTAAAAAGTATGGTTTTTTGAGAACATGTTGTATATTTGTAGTGTTAAAGACAATACTACACTGCATGAGAGAAGCATCACAGAGGGTCATGTATGGTCATTGAACATACTGTTCATTGTCTTCAAGTTTTACAGCTCTTAGAATAGGCCACATTGAGCAGTATTTCCTGCATTGCCAAAGTCATAGCATGAGTTTCTTATACAAATAAAAGTGCCATAGTACTAACATAGCGAGGAGGGCAAGGGGGTCTATCATGCCCCGGGTGCCATTCGCAGAGGGGTGCCAAATGGTCTCCAAGACAAACAAGATTTATGGATATTTTAAGGTAGGTACTACATTCTATTATTATTTGTATTATATTCTTATTACGAGTAAATTCTATATATTATATGTGTTTTTGGAAAGGGGAGGGGACACCAATAAAGTTTTGTGCCCCGGGCACCAGTTATGTTTGCTACGCCACTGTACCATAGTAGTGAGTTTTGGTACTAATTATTTTTTAAAGAAATTCTATCATGTCTTGAAATGTCACCATAACAGATTTGGTTACATTTGGACTGTAGACAGCATTTAATAGGGATACTTTAATTACAGTTATCCAGTATATAAATTTTAAACATATTTCCTATTTATAACATAATAAAACAGACTAATTTAGAGATATAATTTGATTTATTTATTTAACAAAATTGCATTTTTACTTATTGCATTTAAGCATTATTGAAAAACCAATTCTTACATAATTGACCTAGTTTTAAAACAAATTTAATTTTAATTTTAACCAATGTATTAAAAATCATAAAATTCTGTCAATGATTTATTTATAAACTCCATATTATTTTTTATATATAGGATCTGGAAGAGAATTTAATGATGATATACCATGTAAGTAATAAATTACTAATTATAATTTTATTAAATTCGTTTTTTCTTTTACTGAAACAAGTTATTTTTTTTCTGTTGTCAATTCAATAAAGTCAGCCATTTTTCTGAATTTAAAAATAAAAAGAAAATAAATAAATAACATGTAGAAATAAAAATGAAAACATTTTTTATTTTTGCATGATTTTTACAAGTTGTATATTTAGTGAGAAATTCATTCTGGATAGTACTTTGTCTCGCTTCACTCTCTATAAAATTAAATTAATTTTTATAATTAATGACTTTCACTTCTTTAACAATTTAGAAATTGTAAATTTTTCAAAAAATTTTCTGTAAAATTCAGTTTTTAATTTAAATTTCATTTATAATATTTACTTCACACTTTTTACAGTTTTTTACAATAAAATTTTAAAAATTACAATTACAATTTATTACAGTATAAACAATTTTTACTGATTTGTGATTTTTTTACATCTGATGTCTTTTTAATTTCTCAACTTTTCATCTGTATTATTAAAATTTTTCATTTGCCTGTCTAATGTGAATCTTTTTTATTTTTCTTTATCACTATTACACTCAAAACATTGTTTTGCATTTTTCCTTGGCTAGATTTTTTTTGTTTCCATTTTTATTTTCACTTGCTGACCCTTGGTGTAGATAAAATTTGCTGTTTGAATAAGTCATTTCAGAAAAATACTTAAACTATAGATCAGAGCAGTGATGGAAATGATACTCCTCATCAAGACTTAATGACTAGAAAGCCAGAAAATTTATGTATACTGTTTTTTCACATTTTTTTTACTATTTCATTCTTTATTCATTTTTAATTTTATCATGAGATTCTTTTGAAATAGAAAAAAACAGAAAATTTTTCTAAGTGTTTTTTTAAAAATAGTCAATAAGCTTTTGCCTCTAATATCTTCTTTTTTTTTCTATATTAATAGTAAAGAAAAAAATTATATGATATTCCATATTTCTTCAGCAATAGATAAATAATCTTTTTTAATCAAAACAGAAAAACACTGGCAAGCAAATGTCAACTTTCCTAGCACTAGCACTCAAACAAAAGATTAGGCTTCTGGTATATCTTGGTTACAATGTGGCTGTTTTGGATCTCCACATTCAGTTCAAAAATGGGTCACATTGTAACCAAGGTATGCCATAAGCCCAATCTGCACCTCTTCTTTTCAACTTCTAATGATCTATATGTTTACAAAATGGCAGCTTTTAGAGCATTAATACAAAGAGCTTATACATACTGCTCTAACATCAAAGATATCATTCAGGAGCTAAAACATAAAACACCAATAACAATAGCAGTAGCACATGGGTATAGTCATAAACTTATTCAAAGGTTAGCAGACATTATAGAAGACTAACTTAAAAACTTCAGAAATGCATATGTCAAAACACAAATGCAAAATCAGAAGTTCATAGTTGTTGACTTCAACCCTAGTTTAATTCAAACATACAGGTTCATTGCCAAATACTTAAATGCTGTTCTCACATTTAAATGCATTCCAACTGTATTCAAGCTACTCTTAAATGCTAAAGATAAAATAGAAGCCAACAAAACCCTTGGAGTATATTTTATACCACTGTTTCACAGCAGATTTGATATATATAGGATCAACAAATAGATCGTTGACACAAAGGCGCAAAGAACACCAGTATGATGATCACAAAAATAAGCTTAGTACAGTGCTGGCACAGTTTGCCTCAGAGCCGGGAGTATCTCCTCAATGGTCAGAGGCTAGAATTTTAAAACATGAATTCAATAGTTAGGTTAAGGACCCTTGAAGCTTTTGAGATATTTGCACGACCCTTACTAGCAATTGTATTAATAACAAAGATTTCATACCTATTTCCTCAGAATGGCAATCAATACTAGATAATGCTACAAAACAATGTGACAACAATTATAACTAAGAAGCTTCTGAAACAACATTTCATTGATAACAGGGTGGTTAGCTGTGCATTTCCTACCAACTGGCCACCTTGTTCTCTGGATCTTAATTTCTGTGATTTTTAGTCATGAGAAACTTAAAAAGTATGGTTTTTTGAGAACATGTTGTATATTTGTAGTGTTAAAGACAATACTACACTGCATGAGAGAAGCATCACAGAGGGTCATGTATGGTCATTGAACATACTGTTCATTGTCTTCAAGTTTTACAGCTCTTAGAATAGGCCACATTGAGCAGTATTTCCTGCATTGCCAAAGTCATAGCATGAGTTTCTTATACAAATAAAAGTGCCATAGTACTAACATAGCGAGGAGGGCAAGGGGGTCTATCATGCCCCGGGTGCCATTCGCAGAGGGGTGCCAAATGGTCTCCAAGACAAACAAGATTTATGGATATTTTAAGGTAGGTACTACATTCTATTATTATTTGTATTATATTCTTATTACGAGTAAATTCTATATATTATATGTGTTTTTGGAAAGGGGAGGGGACACCAATAAAGTTTTGTGCCCCGGGCACCAGTTATGTTTGCTACGCCACTGTACCATAGTAGTGAGTTTTGGTACTAATTATTTTTTAAAGAAATTCTATCATGTCTTGAAATGTCACCATAACAGATTTGGTTACATTTGGACTGTAGACAGCATTTAATAGGGATACTTTAATTACAGTTATCCAGTATATAAATTTTAAACATATTTCCTATTTATAACATAANAGTAAGACCCTGCTTAACGCAGGGGATATGTTCCTAGACAACAAAGTGCTAAACAAAACAGCATTAAACAAGGTAATTTTAACATAGAGTAAATATGAAAAGTGGAACACAGCCAAAAATGAACAAATTTTACTATAATTTTAAGTTATTTTTATATTAATTTGCATAATAATATATGTTAAATAACACACAAACATATGCAGACAGAAATCTAAAGTTCATTTTTTGTGATGAAAGTCTGACTTTTCTGAAATTCTTGTTTTTTGCAATAAAGTCATGTAGTTTCATTTGTTGCTTTTTTTCTTTCTTTAAGCAAATGTCAGAAGCAGAAGATTGCATCCAAAATGCCTCATTTTGCTTTGCACTCCTTTCAAAATCTGGATCGTTTGCTACAATTTGATCAACAATTTCAGTTATCATTACCAAACTTTTACTAAGGAAATCTGTAGATAAATTCTTTGGGTTCTTCATTTTCAGAATCACTATTTTCCAGTTCTACGTGAATTCCTTGTTCTGCTAGTTCTTGAAGGTCATTGTTGGTAAGGATCTCACCAGAAACCTGCAGTAATAACTTCTCAATATGCTGGTCGTCTACATCTCAGTCCTGCTGTATTAATTAGGTTGACAATTAATTACAGTGAAAATCTGATCTTTGACCTTGATAAATTTTTCACCTTGAAAGTTGACCTATAACCTTGAAAAAGTATACAAGACATCTACACTGACCACTGATATTATATACAAACTTTCATATCAATATGTCTTTTCGTTTGTGAGTTTTTGTTCAAACAAAATTTGCATTTTTCTCTGCTATACCATTAAGTTATAGTCTTCTCTCATACTTTTGTATATCCTCAGACAAATATATATATATATATATATAATCTCAATAAAAGCAAATTTTAATATTGACAAGTTTTATTTTATGAAAATGTTTGTAATCTTTGTATTAGTTTAAAATTAAATTTTAATTAATAAATTAATTACTCTATATTGCAGTTTTAATTGTATATGAAAAATTGAAATAATTTATTTATGAGATTAATTTTAATTAAAATATTAGAAAACATCATTACAATATTGAAAAAATAATACTATGTAAACTCTTAAAAATTACTTTTACAAATACATTTTCATTTTTTCTGATTAAAAGAAAGCTTATTTTATTAATTTACAATATTTGGACTACAAATATTATCAAGTAATATTTGAATAATTTTTTTATAGGATTAAGTGCTTGTTTCACTGAAATGCAAGAAGTATTGAATAGTAATGCATGGGCAAATCATCATATTCCTCCTGATCATATTGATCATCTTTTACCATCGTCTGAATATTCTCAATTTTCTCCTCCACCTGCATATCCGCCCCCACCACCACCACCAATATCAATGATGGGAAGAAGTTTAGAGAGCTTTATAATTGAAAATGAAAATCATATTCCAGAAGGTGAAGAAACATATCCTGAACAAGAAGATGAAGATTTGCAAAGTAAATATTTAAAAATAATATTCTAAACAAAAATAATCATTTTATTTTTTATTCATTACAATTGTTTTTATGTTTTTATTTTTGTTTGCAGTGTCTTCATCTCATGTTACCATTGTTGTCTCTCCTCGTAAAGATGGCCTCACAATTCGTATGTCTAGTCAAATGGGTCCAAAAATGTTATCAAATCTTTTGCAAGATCATTTACGTTTCTTCCATTCATTTGGACTTCCCGTTGTGAAACCTGGATTTTGTTCTTCTCCATCTTTGCTTTCAGTTCTTCGAAGTATGAGTCAGATATGTAGAGATAGATGTTTCTATGATTCTGATTGTCCAAGAAATAAAAAATGTTGCCTAAGTAAATGTGGAATGGGATGTGTTGATCCGTATTTGGCTAAACACGATGTTGAACCAAAAGTAGGTAGTTGTCCAGTTTCATCTCAACCTTCACATCGTATGACATTAGCCTGTTTATTTGCACAAGATGAGTGTCTTCAAGATGATGACTGCTCTGGAAATTATAAATGTTGCACAACTGAATGTGGAAATCAATGTGTTGAGCCAATAAGTAAATTAGATTTTCAATTCGTTAAAGATAATAGTTTATATTCAGTTTAATTCATTTAAATAAAAATGTTATTATTTCAGTTCCACATATAAAGTCATCCAAAATGACTGTTACATTACCTATATGTTCTCCTGAAGGAGGTTTTGCTATCACACAACATCAAGAAGATTTGTCTTGGTGTGTTGACAAATATGGAAATCCTTTGCATGAAACACTAACAAGAGGTGATGTGAAGTGCACTACAGATGGTAAGAAATTTATATAAGTATACTAAATAGATTTTATGCAATTTCTTTTAATTTATTTAAAAGTATTCAATATTCTATTTATATGAGTATATATATTTTTGGAACATTTGCTGTGTAAAGTACTGTACTTCTATGTTGTATTTGGAAACTAAATTCCTGTAATCTCAAAGCCCATCTCATTAACCTATCTGAGAGGGATGTAGAACTATGGAGCTATTGTAATGCAGAATGGTCCGTTATGACGGTAAATTATGTTCCGTCTAGGTAAACTTTGAACTTCTCTATAGCCCATACAACGGCTAGACATTCAAGCTCCGTGGCCGTATAGTTTCTTTTGGCCGAGTTTAACATACAGCTAGCATATGCAATGACTTTCTCCTGGCAAAGCACTGCTCCCAGTCCTACAGTGCTAGCATCTGTGTATAACATATAAGGCATACCTGGCCTAGGAAGCTGCAAAATAGGTGCAGTTATTAACTTACTTTTTAGCTTTTCAAAAGCTTGATGGCATTCTTCCGTCCACTCCCATCGTTTTCTTTTCCGCCGTAACTGATACAATGGTTCGGCGATGGTTGCATAGTTAGGTATGAATCTACAGTACCAGCTGCACATTCCCAAAAAGGTGCTAAGATCCTTCGTATTTCTGGGCGTTGGAAACTCTCAAACAGCCCTTACTTTTTCATTTTCTGTCGCAATGCCTTTATTGCTAACTTTGAATCCCAGGTGATGAATATCTGGGTGACAAAAATGACTCTTAGCCAATTTAATGGTTAATCCTGCAGCTGCTAATCTTTCAAACACATTGGTCAAATGTTCTATGTGTTCTGTAAAAGTAAATGAATATATTATAATATTGCCTAAATAAACTTGACAATACTTTCCTTTTTCTTCCTTTAGGACTTTGTCCATTAGTCTTTGGAATGTCGCTGGCGCATTTTTCAGACCAAACGGTATGACCGGGAATTCATACAAGCCACTGTTCGTAATAAAACTAGTCTTCAGTCTGTCTTGTTCTTTTAACGGCACTTGCCAGTAACCAGATAATAAGTCCAACGTAGTTATAAAGTTCGCTTTCTTAAGCAAAGTCAGTAACTCTGAAATAATTGGTAAAGGATATTTATCAGTCACTGTTACCTGATTTAGCTTTCGATAGTCAATACATAATCTCCAATCGCCCGTTTTCTTCTTAACCATGACGACTGGTGAGGCCCACAGAGAATTTGATGGTTGGATGATACCATCCTTTAACATTTCCACTATCTGGCGGTTCATTTCCTTTAACTTCACGTCAGAGTATTTATAAGGACGTCCACATACTGGTGTCGCCTTGTCAGTGACGATTTCATGTTCTATCGTATTAGTTAGCCCCGGCTTATCTGTAAACAGTTGCAGGTATTGTAATAATACGTTTTTCAAAGTTACTAACCTTTCACCACTCAAAGTGGTTTGGAGTTCATCCCACTTAGATGAATTTTGCTCACTTGGTTGAGGTACTTCTAAGGAAACTGTCGAATTTTGGAAATCTATTTTCAATCCATGATTCTTGGCGAAATCACGCCCTAGTAAGCATTGCATAATAAGTCCTTTCACTACAACGCATTCCTGATGATGGGTAACATTTCCAATCTGGATCTTTGCCAGAAATTTTCCAATGGAGGTTCCTTTTCCTCCTTCAATGGCTAAGTTAAAATTCGGTCCAGCTTGTAACCAAATATTTCTATTCTGCAAAAAAATTTTCCTCCACACGGAATCATTAATTAAAGTAAAGTCAGAACCCATATCAATCCGGGCTAAGGTTAGTACTCCAATAATAAAAACGTTTACCTCAGGCAACTTGGAGGCTTCACTAACTATTAGTCCTATGGTGGAGGCATTTGGATCCATACTGGAGACAGGATCCTCCTCTCGCTGTCTCCCGTCTAGTTTAACAGTTTTCTTTTTCCGTTACCCTTCTTTTGCCAGGTTACTTTTCGTTCGGGACTCTTGACACTCGTCTGATCAGGTTGTTTTTTCCCTTTGGGACAAGCCCTCAAAAAATGTCCCACCTCACCACATGAGTAGCATGTCATGGGTGACTTTGCCAGTGCAAAACTTTTCGGCTCCATCTATTTATTTATTTTTCGACAGTCCTTAATTGGATTTGCACTGTCAGAAGAACTTTGTTCATTTCTTCTGAATTCGTACTCTTTTGCAGTGCATACTAGCTCGTTTAACAAATAAGAATGGCGATTCTCCAGATACTCACGTAACGGCAGAGGCATCTGGGCAACTACACATTGAATATTTCTTCGTCATGAGCTAAAGGTTTCCACGTGTGGTATAGCTGTACCGTGGTCCATATAAACTGCTCGACACCATTGGTTCCAGTGTATTGGCAACTAAAAAGTTCTTTAGCGACAGCTACTTAGTCAGCTAAAGGAGCGTACAGATCCAGAAACGCTCGTTTAAATAACGGCCAACTGTTGCCGATTCGGTGGCGTCCTTCATTCTTCCACTACATCGCTGGGCTACCACAAAGACAACTAGCGGCAGTATCCACCCATCTAGTGTTCGGTATTTGGTTTACCAGGAAATGCTGTTCGAGGTCCTGCAAGAAATCGTTAGCAGTTAATGCTAACCTACCGTTAAATTGGATGGCTGGCGGCGGCGGTGGTGCAGTCTGAAGCCAGACCATCGAGGCATTAGAGGTTGTAGGCACATCCTGCCTTGGAGTAGAAGTTTCGGGCCATACAGCACTATTAACGTTCAGTGTTGTAGGCTCAACAGTTCCAGACGTGACACATGAGGTCAGATGAGTCACTGCATTCGTCAAAGTTGACACTTGTTGCAACAGCACTGACAACTGCTGCTGTAACTGGTTATATTCGGCTCGGGTTACTGGTGCACTATCATCCATTTTTGTCCTTACAAGATGTTACTCCTCTAAAGCTAAATTCAAAGTCTATGAAAGAAAGCAACCAAGTCCAATATTAACCTTAGAGTCCCTGTTCAGGCGCCAGTTGTAAAGTACTATATTATTTTCCGACTTTTCCAACGATTATTGACACGACTGTGTGCCGGAAATAGCCGTTCCCTAACGAGTACTTTATGCGGATTCGCGTTAGTGTGCCAGGCCTGGACTTTAAGCGTGCACCAAATTAAATAATGACCAAGTTTGTCAATAACAAATCAAATATTTAATAAATAATTCTAATAATAATTATATACAATATTTAGTAAAATCAAATAACAATTTATTCAATGAAGGTCAATAAGAATCAACCCGACAAAACTCAAATCAATCTATTTTCTAATTTAATTCTATCCCCCTTTGGAATTCAACAAAATCAAAGTACAATAATTCTTATGAATTAAAGGTCCTAATCATCACCTCAATATACTAGGAACCTATTTCCTCAACTCTCAAGACTTTTTCTATTCGTCAATCCACAAATCGAATAACTTCAAAATCGTCTTGGAACTATTTGATCCTATCGGACACCTCTCTCGTTCACTGCTACGAAGCTCACCAAGCTCGTTGCTATCAGAAGCTCACCTCGTCCATCTTCACTTGAGGTTCAGTCTTTATACTGTGAGGTGACGTCACAATTCTAAATGTGATCACTCTCCTCATTTACATACTTATTTGCTAACAGTAAACTTTTTCTGTTTGTCTGGCAGCCTATTTTTCGACAATATTCGCTAACCTTTTACATTATTCTTTTTGACAATTTTCGGGATGTTTTTTTATTCTTTAAGGTTTAGCAAGTCCCTAAGGTGTGCTTGTGGGGTCTCCCCCCTTTTCTCGGTGCGGACCTACTTTTTTCCGCTTGGGAGCACAAGTGTGCGCGAGTTTTTTCTATGGCACTTTTCTCTCAGTGAGTTGGTTTCTCTTCTATTTTTAAGTTTCTAAGGTGAATGGTGAGGAAACCTTCATCCTAACAAAACATAAGCCCCAAACAAAAATATAATAAAAAGCAAAATAAAAGTAAATAAAAATAATGCTCGGACTTGGTTCCTTACACCTGTATAACTCTAGAACTCCAGAATTCTGTTAATGTTAATGTTCTTCAGTAGAACCAACTTCATTTACAGCAGCACAAGACCAAAATGCTAATAAACATTTAAAGAGTCATTTTATTAATGCAATAAAACTTTTTTACATGATTCAGGTTTCATCTTCAGATTCACACACATGCAATATATTTTTTAGTTATGTATTTTTAAATACAAATAAGTTTTAAAAAATATAATAAGATCAATATAATATGTTTTAACTAAATAAAGTGTAAATTTCTATTGTAATTATAAATTTATGTATTCAATATGATTATATATTTTTGACTTTAAAAAAGCTTTACTAAATGATATAAAATAAATTACCTATATTTGCTATATGATTGGGGATCTGAAGATGAGATGTAAATTATTTCAAAAAATGCTTTATCTCATTAATAAAGTGACTTCTTGAATATGCATTAACCATGATCAAATAGTAAAAGATATTATAATTCAATTATTATACCTGTCTAAAAATAAATAAATCAGAAAAGGATGTTGATTTTCATGTAAGGCAAAGGATATGGATTTAGTTAGACTTATCAAGGCCTTACTATATACAAATTGAAAATTATTTAAACAGGCACTTTAATGGTAAATGGATTGAATGACATTGACCATTACAGTGGTCCATACAATTACTAGACTTGACTTTGCCTGACATTTGTTGCAAGTCCAGGACAAAAGATAACTCATTCCCTGTGGATTAAACAGACAACCTCAAAGTAAATGACATGTATTGTAAAAATCTCTCTCTCCAGTCAATAAACAATATTTTCTTTAAACAAAAGTCACCCTTCCACATCTATGAAGGTTTGAATTCTTGTTGACTCAAAGACAGTGGATGACAGGTATTTTGACTGGACATGGTCCTGTTTGAACAGTGTTTGATCTCATAACTGAGTAAGAGTATGTTTTACAACTGTGTTCTCCACTTCCACCATCTTGGTTATTCATGCTCAGGTGTTATAATCTACACTAAGTGAAAAAGTTACTGAGGCACATCTATATACCTGATGGAGGTTATGGCCCTACTGTTTCTTCTTGTGTTCTTCTCTCCTCTTTCTCTTTTTTCACTTTTCCTCCTTTTTTCTCTGTTGTGTCTTTGAGAAACTGGGCTTTAAAGGGTTATTCCTTAATCAGACATTTCCATGATCCAATTGGAGATTCACCTGCTTCCAAATTAAATTTGAATTTCCTCTCCATTTGCAAGAAAAATTGCCATCAACTTTGATCTCATCACATCTTCATCACATATATCAGATTGTGTATGTATGCTAGATGACAATTATTTTATTTTCCTCTCAATTATAACCTATTTGTTTCTGTCAGGGATGTGAACCTGATGGAAATGATTGTCACACTTTCACCCAGCATGATAAAATAGTTGATAACAACAAGAATTATAGGGGTGAAGATGGGAATACAATTTCCAAGAATTTCAGAGATCCAGAATTTTGCAACTAGTGAGCGATATAAATAAATTTAAATATATAAATAATATTACAATCAAAAAGGATGTTCATTATATTTTTTTCTTATGTAATTATTTTTCACTTATACAGGTCAAATAATAAAAAGAAGATCTGTTGGTCCAAGTAAGTAAACATTTATTTATTTTTAAAATTGATTTATATTTTTTCTAAAAGTTAATTTAATATCTAAAAACAGATTGTCATTGATGATTTTGTATTTAAAAGAAAATCATTTATGTCATATAAAATTTTTTACTATATCAAATTACTTTAGTAACAGAGTGAGATAATAGGTTTCCTGTATATATATTGTAAAATTATAATGATTTATAAGAACTGATTAATATGAATAAATCAATATTTCTTTAAATAATACAAATTATTTTGGTAACTTTTAATTTCTTTCATTAATTATATATTAAATATTTTATAAACTAAAAAATATGAATGAAATTTACTCTACTTATTAAAAGAAAGTTTGCTTCAAGATTGACTTTTATTCATAATTTAATATTTCTGACTTATTAATTATATTTTGCATTACTAGAATTTATTCTATAATAATACAAATTACATTAAT